ATAAAAATGGACAATTTAGGCCTCCCACAAACAGAAGATTTCGACCGCCGCTTGGATGAAACAATTACAAAGAAGAAGTCCAAAGACAATATTGGCTATTTTGATGACGCGCTATACGAGAAATTTTTAAGAGAAACGAAAGAAGCCAAAAGTAAATCAGACACATTGAGTGGGTGCCAAATCAATAGAAGAACTGGAAGGTTTGGGTTTCTTTTCGCAATGCACCATACCCAGCATTGAAACACTTTGACCCTACTCAGCTTACTAAACTATATAGCATAATGTCAACCTTTTTGGCTGAGCGATTAGCGAAGCCCATTACTCCACTGACCGAAAAAGTTTCATTCTGTTTGTCTGTGTGTTTGTCTGTCTGAATGCACGATAACTCGAGAAGGAATTGAGATAGCGATCTGGGATTTTCAGGGTCGTTTTGTATCATAAAAAGACAGATCGAGTTCGAAGATGAGAATTGTAGCTCAAAAATTGACTTTAAAAAAAAATCAATAACCACAGGTCGCAAAATATTATTTTTCTCAAACCTTTCTTTGTGAGCTCCTAGGGGATAACTCGTGAAAGTAGAACCCTTTGTGCGAAAATTTCGTCCGTTTTGCTCTATCTTGTACCGTGTTGGCGCTATGGGGCATTTCTTGGCGAAAACAACGTGGAAAAGACAAAATGGTCCATTTAATCGTTAAAAAGGCCTTATGTCACAGAATTGAAAAGGGAGTAATACTTAAACCACATATTACGGGACGAACCGCACCCTATCTGAACTTAAGGGTCCTAAGATTATCATTAAAACGTTGATTTTTACATAAGAATCTTTCAAAATTCGAACTTTTGATGAAAACCGTTACCGAACAGCAGAAGTTGCATGTCTCTAATTTAAAGTGAGGGCCCGGCAAATGGTTCGAGTATGTCAAATTTTGGGCCCGGAAGGCCCTGTTCCCCTATACCCTCTCCTCAACTCGTCTCGGGTGTCCCGCAGGCCTAGCTATATGTGCGCCAGGCGCGTCGCAGCGTAAGAGTGTTTCGTGAGATATCGCGAAGCCTGTTA